CCGTTTGGGGTGGCCAGACCGTTCAATTTTAGTAGTAAATTCTTGGTGATTACCCACTCTAAGCAGCTGTGCAGCCACCCATCCCACTAACGCGGTAATTCTGAGGACCCCACTCTGTTAGGAATGAGTAGCAAGATACTGCCCAGTAGTTAAGCATTTTCCTTGATCTGAACCCTTCAGCTTGCTTCAATTAGACCAAGGACTTGAAGTCTTTTTTTTTCGGTTCTCCCTCACCCCCAAGGGAATGTCTTGAACCATGGCTGCTGAGTATTCAATGGAAGAGGTCTCAGTCTGGACTTCTAAAGCCAGTGCAGTCAGTGTTATAAGAGTGTAGGAGGTTGAGCTGCAGCTCACAATTGAAGGCCTTCTCTAGAGGTGCAGAAGGTGGGTTGCCAGAACAGTATGTTATTCTAAGGAAATAGAGCAGGTCTGTGTGGTTTTGTTCTGGTGAGTTTGTTTTTTAACTGGCAGATCTGGATGCAAGCCTCTGCTTTAGGTTAAGCAGAAAGGATTGGAAAACAGGTCTTCTAAATGGCAGATAAAGCCTTTCTTTTCCTGCTCTTACTCTTTATGTTTCCTGCTGGCTAGAAACTTCTTGCTTAGTTTGCCTTTTGTGAATGCCATTCTGAAAACCCAAACGTTTCCCTTGCTTGAAAGTGAAAATCCAACAAAGTGTGTAGCAAGTGTTTGTAGTAGGAAATGCAGTGTATTCTGTAGATCCATGAGCATTTGACGTCTATGAAAAGCTTGCCTTCGGATTCAGTGGCACTGCACTAATTGGCTCTGCGATCTGCAGTCAGTCCCCTTTTCCTACCTCAAGGCATTTAGCAGGGCGTCTAAAAGGGATGTGCTGTACCACCTTTATCCTTTTTTGGATTTAACTCAAAGTATCTGTGTACAGTTAGCTCTTCCCTCCTCTTAAAGAATATTGAAGCCTGAAGATGTACCTTGTAGTCCTTTTTTTTTATAGCTGATTATGTGCCTACAGGATAGGCACGTAATTAACATTCCACTTAACATATTCTTTTGGATGTTAAGTCTTGGACCCAATACATACTCTGTCCCTTCTGAAACTGTGTTTCAGTGGATAAATCTCCTTTTAACCTATGATGTGTGATCTCGGTGAAATTCAGCTAATTCAACTCAATGAGCAATATTTTTTGATTGGGGAAAAACCCCTATGTTATTCAGTCTCTCTCCCTTTATGCTAGTGAGCTATGGCCAGAAATTACTTGTACATAGTGATGCTCCTTGTGCAAGTGCTTTTTGACCAGATTGTGCTTTCCCCTGCTCCCCATACTACTTGAGTCATTCCACCTTTTTTTTTTTAATATAAAATTTCAGTCGTCTTTTTTGTGTTGTTGGTTGGTCTTTAGTATAGTGTGACCACTTACAAGAACAGATTTCCGTATTTCAAGGAAGTAGTACCTGTTTGGCTAATAAATAGAAGGGTAAAAGTACGCAGTGACAGCTGTTTCCTCTACTTGTGTTTTGGAAGAAATAACTCATGTAGACATTAGCACTCTAAGCAGAGGTTCAGGGTTGCAAATCCCAGACAGAGATTAGAGCCAGATGAGTAGGAGTGAGAAAGGGATTTGTGGCTTAATGGTGTGCTTCACATGGTTCGTGCTGAAGTATGGAGTTCTTGGATCCTCTTCTTAAGTATTCAACTACAACCTGTGGTTTTCAGAAGACAATTATTTTCCTGGATCTTGCTCCCAGAACACAAACACCATAAAACAACAACCCAAAAGATGGTGCTAATAAATTACAAGGTTTCCCTTTCATGCAGACTGTTTTGAGGAACTTGATTTTGAGATGTGTTATATTAGAAGCCTGTCAGAAACACTGCTTTAGAATCATGGTTGCTTTTATTAATAGAAGAAACTTACCTTCAAAGAATCCTTGAGAGATTATTGCTTGGTAAGAAAACGCTTCTTATTAATTGAAACAGTTTTAATAACAAAAGCAACTGGCTTGTTAATTAGCCCATTATAAGAAATTATCTGTGTGTTGTGGAAGTTTTTCAAGTGAAGGAAGGACTTCAAGTTAGAAGACAGAGTTTTGACACTACTTTCAGTTCTCATTACAGTTCTCAGTATAACTGAGGACTTAAGAAATACTAGTTTCCAGGTGAAGGTACCAAGTTTGTTCTACAATTGTACTTCAGATGCAGCACATCTTCTGAATCAAAGGGCAAGAATCTTAACTGTGCAAGGATAAACTTCAAAGCACGCAGTAGCTGGCGAACACGTGATCAGAGCACTGGGCACAGGACTTACACCACGATGTTACCTTCAGTCTACCTTTTTCTTCTCAAATCACCCCTCAGGGTGTAATGTGGACTCCTGTTCTGTTCTAACTTCTCAGTAAAGCAAATGCTTTGTTCAACTGGCAAATAATTGAGAATCTTCTTATACCTCTCTTGCCGGCAGAATATGTTTAATTGAAAAGATAGTATAGATGGAAAGAGGTAAGAGGGCAGCATGAAAACTAAGTGATAAATTAACATGTATCATCATAGGAAAAGGTAAATACTGCTCATCTATCTTAGGTAGACTTTGAAAGGCATCAGTAAAGCCAGTGACAAGGTTCAAAGAGGATGGAGGTCAAAAATATGGCCCACAGGATTTTCATTTTTTCGGATGGTCTCTTGTATTCACTAATGCAGACTACGTATTTCCAAAAAGATTAGATAACTTTAAAATTAGAAGTAACATGGTATTACTTCATGTGCTCCTGCCTTTCGAGTTTGGTATCTGAGAGGATAGTAACAATACTACTGCTTATGATTAATTTTCTGCATTTTACTTCACTATACAACTTGAATCCAGTCTAAATGATACATGTTTTCTTAGCAAAAACAATCTCCTTCATAAATAATCTGCATCTGGCCACTCGGACCACTGCTGGAAAAATGCAATCTACTGTAATATATCACTGGATCAACTGTTCTGCTAGCATGAGTAATGCATATCTGCATGGCTTTGCCAGTCCACCCCTCAGGGGCCAGCCCTATGTTATTGCTGCCTTGTCACCATTTTTTGGTATAGTTTTTACAGGTATGATGCTTCTGTCCTCTCAGAAGTTAGATGCTTCCACAGGCATCTGGAGACAAGAGAGCAAGTACTTTCAGATATGGACATACCCTGATGTTCATCAGTGAGGGTGGCTATTTCCTGAGCAACAGAACATGCTCGGTCTCTTGGAGAACACAGAAAAGAAGAAATGGATGGAAGAGAGTATCATCTTGATTCATGATGCAATAGGAGGGAACTAGAAAGTAGCTTGGACAGAGGAGTATTAGGGAAACATGAGAAACCACTCTACCCTAGAAACTGTTGCACCAAGAAACTTTTCCCTGAGTCTGTTTTTTATGGTAGCTACTCAGTTCCATGTGCCTTTAAATGCCAACTTAATCCAGATCACAATGCTACTTTCTTTTAGCCACTATAGGTCCTGCAGCTGTTGAGCTTTCATGCTGACATGCATTTCTTGTGGCGCTAAGCAACTGCACGTAATTTTTCTGTGGGCCTATTTTCCAGAAGTGTGTATTCTCTTTTCTGAAGAAGAGTAGGTTTTGTTTTAAATTCTGCTTTACCCAGCAGACTTGACAGCTCTCTGCACTCCCCTCACCTCCTTTTCTGCTCAGCATTTATTCACCGCACATCACTCAATGGCTGAAAGCACAGAGTTACTGCTACACTGACTGCAGCTGGTCAGCTAAGACATGTGATCTGCTTTGTCCACTCCAGCTACCTTTCCTGGTGAAGATCCACAGAAGAAGCTGGCTGAAGTGAGTATTCAAAGACACGTGTTCTCAATAGCACTTCATTTGTGCTGTCAACTGGGCAGTGTCTGGCAGCCTAGGACACAATGCTGGTAAGAAGGTGTGCGTGTACTGCTATGAAGCCGTAGTAGTGTCACAAAAGGTTTCACCTCTTAGCACTATCTAGTAGTACTGGTCTGGGGTCACTTCAAAAGCAGGTCACTTGCACTCAGAAGTCTTGCGGTGTTGATTATCTGTCAGAACAGTGCTTGAGAGTGATGGAGAAGTAGACTTATTACTCTCAGTGTGCTTAAGGTACACAAATAGAGGTACTGAAACTGCATTTTACCCAAACTCAAGCAAATTAACAAAAAATTTTATTAAGAGTATTCAATATAGCACCACACAAAAGGTACACTGTGCTTTGTGTTGCCTTTAAGGAACATGCCAGAGTACTTTCAAACTAGAAAAACTAACGTAAAAAGCTTTCTTGTTCATCAGCAGAGCTTACTGTTTGCTATTTAAAGAAGCTACTCGGAAAGAACACAGCTTTTGTACATAATGTTTTAATGGTCTTCCAGGAAGTTTAAGCATTGCTCCCTTACCTATTAGTTCTTTCACCTTCTGGGGTTCAAGCTTTGCTCAAAAAAACTCACTGAGGCCAAGATGCTTAGAAAAGCATTCAATTGAGAACTCATACCACCAGATCCAACCGACAACATCCTGGTCAGCTGCTGAATTCTTTTTCTTGAAAAAGTAACAATTTTGATCAATGTTAATTGTGTGATTGGGGCTCTATGAGTCATCCCCAGGCAAACTGAGGAAGATTTGGAATCAGCTCTTAGTTCTGTCTTGGGCTCAAAGATAAACAAGGAGTACATACTTGATAAAATTACAGATACATTGCATCATAGAAAAAAGATGGGTGACTTTGAAGGGTCATTTAGTCCATCACTATAGATTGTTATGCTATAATGGCTTGAAATTACTTCAAATATAAGGTGCTTCTAAAGCCCACGGCAGGGGGGTTGGAACTAGATGAATCAATCTTTAAGGTCCCTTCCAACCCAAACCATTCTATGATTCTATTTCATTGTAAAGTATTTGTTAGTCCCTCACATTCCTTACATAGCTAAACTTCGTTTCTTAGCCTGAATTGTTCAGATTAAGTTCTGTGTATTAGCTATTACGCTTAATTAAATCAGCTTTATTTTTCCTTTTTGTAATCAAAGTGGACTGGAAACATTTCTGTTTTGCCTGAATACGGAACACACAGATGTTTCAGAACATCCTTTATTTGATGCATCTTGCGGTTAGAGAAAGGCCAGTTTGCATAAAGGGAACCTTAGCAAGTCAACAATAGGAATAGAGCCATAGTCAAATAAAAGTGTGGAATGGACCCAGTGCTAATGCATATAAAGAGAGTACTGAAAAACGTCTAGGCTTCCATCTTCACTGACTCGAGTATGGAACGTGCTTCTTTATACTCTTCAGCTTCTTCCAATTCTTTTTCATTTTCCTGGAATCAAAAACAAAATTTTTGAGTACTTTGAAAATAACTGATATGGGATTAAATTCAAGAAGGTAAGTATGCAAAAAAAAACCTGGTAACAACGGATGAGGAGAAGGCTGAGGTACTCAACTTTTTTGCCTTAGTTTTTACTGGTACTGTCTCTTCCCACACCTCTTGAGTGGACGGACCACCAGGCAGGGACTGAGGGAGCAAAATCCCTCCCACCGCAAGAGAAGATCAGATTTGTGACCACCTGAGAAACCTGAACATATGTAAGTCTGTGGGGCCTGACAAAGTGCATCCCATAGTCCTGAGGGACTTGGCTGATGTAGTTGCCAAGCCACTCTCCATGATATATGAAAAGTCATGGCAGTCAGGTGAAGCCCCTGGTGACTGGAAAAAGGGAAACATTAAACCCATTTTTAAAAAGAAGGACCCTGGGAACTACTGACCTGTCAGCCTCACCTCTTTACCTGTGAAGATCATGGAACAGATCCTCCTAGAATCTATGCTAAGGTACATGGAGGACAGGGAGACTTGATTCAAGACAGCCAGCATGGCTTCACCAAGGGCAAGTCCTGCCTGAGCAACCTAGTGGGCTTCTGTGATGGAGAGACTACATCAGTGGACAAGGGAAGAGCTACAGATCTCATCTATATGGCCTTCCGTAAAGCCTTTAACACAGTCCCCCACAACATCTTTCTCTCTGAATTGGAGAGATGGATTTGATGGATGGACTATTTGGTGGATAAAGGAATTGTCCGGATTGTTGCACCCAGAGAGTATTGGTCAGTTGCTCAATGTCCGGATGGAGATCAAAGACAAGTGGTGTCCCTTATGGGTCTGTACAGGGACCGGTACTGTTTAGTATCTTCATCAACACAGTCCCCCACAACATCTTTCTCTCTGAATTGGAGAGATGGATTTGATGGATGGACTATTTGGTGGATAAAGGAATTGTCCGGATTGTTGCACCCAGAGAGTATTGGTCAGTTGCTCAATGTCCGGATGGAGATCAAAGACAAGTGGTGTCCCTTATGGGTCTGTACAGGGACCGGTACTGTTTAGTATCTTCATCAACAACACGGACAGTAGGATCGAGTGCACCCTCAGCAAGTTTGCAGGTGACACCAAGCTGAGTGGTGCAGTTGACACACCTGAGGGATGGGATGCCATCCAGAAGGACCTAGACAAGCTTAAGAAGTGGGCCCATGTGAACTCAGAAGGTTCAACAAGGCCAAGTACTAGGTCCTGGGTAGAGGCAACCTCCAGTATCAACACAGGCTAGGGGATTAAGGGCAGCCCTGCAGAGAAGGACTTGGGGGTGCTGCTGATGGGTGGAAAACTGGATATGAGCCAGCAACGTGCACTCGCAGCCCAGAACGTCAACTATATCCTGGGCTGCATCTAAAGAAGTGTGGCCAGCAGCTTGAGGGAGGTGATTCTGCCCCTCTACTCCACTCTGGTGAGACCCCACCTGGAGTACTGCATTCAGCTCTGGAGTCCTTAGTACAGGAAAGACATGGAACTGTTGGCGCAGGTCCAGAGAAAGGACACAAAAATGATCAGAGGGATGGAATCTCTCTCCTATAAAGATAAGGCTGAGAAAGTTGAGGTTGTTCAGCCTGGAGAAGGCTCTGGGGAGACCTTACTGTGGCCTTTCAACATTTAAAGGGGGCCTATAAGAAAGATGGGGACAGGCTTTTTAGCAGGGCCTGTAGCGATAGGACAAGGGGTAATGGTTTTAAACTGAAAGAGGGTAGATTCAGACTAGATATCAGGAAGAAATTTTTTACAAGGGTGGTGAAACACAGGAACAGGTTTCCCAGAGAGGTGGTAGATGGCCCATCCCTGGCAGCATTCAAGGTCAGGTTGGATGAGGCTCTGAACAACCTGACCCAGTTGAAGATGTCCCTGCTTACTCCAAGGGGTTTGGACTAGATGACCATTAAAGGTCCCTTCCAACCCAAACCATTCTGTGATTCTATGAAACAAGGGATATATCATTATTGAAAACACTAGTTCTACATGACTCAAAGCACAGTGATTTACTTTGTCCTACTTAAGGTCCAAGATAACAGCTGTCATGTGTGAGTAGATTTGACCTATGCATACTTTAGTTTTAAATATTTAACAGAATAACATAAAAGACAGCATAACTGGAACAAATAACAACAGACCTCTGAACAAGAGTATTGTTAGGAAAAAAGATTGACAGCTGAAAAAACCTACTACCATACAGTTGATTTTAATAGAAGCATTGAAAGTGAGCTAAGCACAGAAAGCAACTTTTGAAGACTTTCAAATTCTTAACAATAGCAACTCTCCCCATTCCTTAAGTTTGTACAGCACACTGTATGGATCAATAGAACCACTTGTGCATGCCAGTGACATCTAGACCAGCTAACTGTTAGGTAACTCGTTGAATGACAAAAAGACCCTAAATCCTAAGCATTTATTTTGGAAAGCAGTGGAGACGTACTACCTGAGGATAAGACACCTTGAGTTCTCCTTTGAGAAGATATTTGCATTTTAGCCATCAAATGTGTCTGGCGCTTAATTCAGAGTATGTATTTTTAGCCTTACAGTAGCATTTACAGGTGAAGCTAAATTCTTGATGAGAAGGCAGCTTTTAAAATCAGCATGATGATCTCCAAACTTACTATCTCCTGCAGGTACTCCTATCTTGAAAATGTGGCACTAGTGCTTACCTCACTAATGAAACATAAAGCAGTACTCGGCAAGGACTCAGCTGTTTTGTTTCTTGTCCATATATCATAAAAGTAGTACGCAAAGTATTTTGCCTATACTAGTTCACTACAAGCATATTATATACAACTGCACTATCTAGAAAATGATCTGAAGCAGGTGAAGTATTTTTTCTGATCATGTTACTAGCACAGGAATTCAGACTCCATTCTAGCAGTTCAGTATTTAAGTGTGTACGTCGAGTGTACATTCCATTAAAGACAGCTTCTAATATTCTAACGCACACAGGTTTCATAGACTGAAGACCAAGTCTGCAAAGACAGTTATCTAAAACGAAATATTAGTATGTTACAGGATGCTGGTCTTGGGACTTGTAAAAAGTAATTCTTCAATCCAGTTCTAGTACACTTCAACTGCTCTGCAGACAAGCATGTTCATGCAAGTTCATCAAGGAACAGCAGCGTTTCTTCATCAGTGGGTTATGGTGCTATACTTACTAGTAGTTGAGTAAGATCTGCGTGTGCAACTTCTAATCTGCGCTGGCAATCTGGAATCATCATTCGTGACTCTTGTAGGATCTCGATCTGTGAAAATTAGAAGCCAGTAAAATGAGAATGTATTCCAGATAGGAACATTATTTTTTTTACGATAAGTCTTCACTCTGAAAAATCAGTAGTCCAGTCATCATCTAGGAACTTCGAAACAGCTGTACCTATTTTTTCAATAGGCTTTTTAGTATCAAAAGACACTCACTTAGCATAATTGCTTAAACCCCTGTTAATTTACAGGACACTTCCATTTACTTTGTGCTTAATTAAATATAAAGTATTAAGCTCAAAGGAGTATTTAGATTAATTTTTCCCTTAGAAAAGGAAAAGTATTGCCTGGTAGGCTTTCCAAACAGCATTTGTTAAAAAGGCTATTTAAAACAAACTTTCTCCTGCTGTCGAGAAGCAGCTTCATCCAAAATGGGATCAGCTGGTTATATAAATATCTCCTGCATCTTTTGGGTAATAAAGAAAAAACAGTGTTCAGATAATACCACATAGAGATAATTACTGCATGAAAAAAGTTATTGAGTTATTGATCACATTGTGTGCACGCGGCAGGAGGCTCTGACTGAAAGACAAAGGTAAAGAAAAATGAAAAGCAAAGACCAGCAGGTTCATATTTTTGATGCTTATCATGCATAAAAAGTTATTACTTATCCTTGTGCTTCATTTTAGGAGAAAGATTATTCTCACCATGCACTTTGAACAAAATTACTAAACTGGCACCCCACTGAATCTGAACATCCTGCCTCCTCCTACAGAAAACAACTTCAGATTTAAACAAGGCGACACTTATTTCATGGAACGTTTCTGGATCTGAAATCCAACCACTGAGGAGAAAAGTAGTTCAGAGTTGTTCAGTAATGTTAAATCTATTTAGAAATGAAAATCTGTTAGATATTTAAATGTGAAACCTCTTCTGCATTCAGGACAACCTGCAACAGAAGGCATTCCCTTTAAATGGCTTATTTCGTTATGTCATTCCTATGTTGTATTCTCCTTTCAGTATTAATGCTGCTGTATCGAAGGGTCATTGTAAAAGGGAAGATAAGCTATGGGTAAGAACGTATTTATGCATATAGAAAGGCCTTATGTAGTAAGACATTATCACCGTGGTTTTAAGTGTCGTAAATTGAAGTTCTTAGTTCGAGTCATTTCTGAGAGAAAGGGTTTAAAAACTTTGTTTCTGATTTTCTTTCAGAGAATCTAGGGCAGCATCTGTCTACTTTAAATAAGCAAAGATGGGTGACAAATGTTTAAAAAATAATAAGCACCTCCAAGTTCTAGTTCTCATTGGTATTATCACTTTTCTTTTAAGCATTCAGTGTTGGACTGTATTAAAAATTAGACTAGGAAGTCTGTATATCACACTTCCAGCAGTGAATGAATAAATACAGGTTTTCTAACTTCCACAGAATCAGGTGTGCCGTAAACTGCATGAGATGATGCTTTCCGGTTTATGTAGTAGAAATTTGTTCTATAAAGAATACCTACAGGAGTGAGAATAGCCAATAATGACTTCCTTGGGGCAGCATTGCTAAATAGTTGTGTACTGTAAAGCTGGTAGATGATATGAAAAGTAGTAACTTATTTGATATATGCCACTCAATAGGTGATCTGGGAAGGCATATAAATCTAGAATTTGTAAGCTGCAGTCCTGGCTGCTGTAAGAAAAGAACAAAATACTCCAATTGCTCTGTTCAAAACAGAATTTGACTGAGATCTAAAGAGGTACCTGAGTTTTATTTATACTTGCCTGCAGTTATGTAATAATAAATAAAAAACAGAAGGATGATAAATCCCGGAATTATATTCAGTAGATCCAAACAGATGCAGACTAGAACCGGAATTTTGTGGAACCAGTATTATTAGTCGATTACCAAAGTACCTATGCAAAATTTGGTAACTTCTGCATAAACCACATTTTTTTCAAGTAATCTCAGATAGACCATTTACTGTTAAAAATGTATATAATAAAGTCAGAAGCTCAAATAATTAGATAAGCTTTAGGACTGGAATTTTTAAAGTGTTTGCTCTCCAAATTCTATCAAACTTTCTGACTGAACTCTAAGGGAGTTTAAATTATAAACAGGTCACAGAAGAAGTTACTACATGAAACTGATCTAACTTTGCAAAGAACCTTAAATTTCTGTAGGGTTTCTGTGAACTGCAATGCCAAACATAAGTATTAAAAAACTGGAGTAACTGAAGTGCATCTAAATACAGTCTTAACACAAAAGCAGTAAAGCACAGAAGTACATACAGGGAGAAGCAAATTGAATTTGTTGTCAGTAAGTGCACATAGGACCAAAAGAGCTATTGTGGCTACAATGAGGATGATGTCCCCTTTCCTTTAAGTGTACTGAAACACAGCCAGTTAAACGAATCTCTTCAACCTGCCACATTTCTAGTCAGTTGTCTTCCAGAATTGAAGGTATTTCTACTAAGGGAGCAGATGTCTGACATCTTTCAAAAGAAAGCAGTTTCTCCAGATGTGATAGAGCTCTCTTAACTGTTGGGGTGTATATAGCCTATTTACTAAATGGGATGTGGATTTTTTTGTAAATTGGATCAGATGTCAAAGAAGTGGTGTGCATAATACACCATCAGTAGCCTTCAATCTGTTTTCCATAAATTCCAGATTGCAGCGACAGATAAAGCGAAACAGATGCAAAAATAACAGATCCACCTACCAGTTGCTTAAGTGGAAGGGCACCATAACTAAAATTACTTCACACATGCACAAAGGCCAAGCAGAGGAGACTGTCTGACAAGACTCTGGGAGAGACAACTGAGGTAATGCCCAAGGCTGTAAACAAAAGCAACTTTGAATTTTAACAGGTCCCACAATGAAAGTTCAAAGCTGCTATTTCAACTTTAGCCAGATCAGAGCTGCTCATGACGCACATTCTCTACTTTTTGGATAATCCAAGCACTTACAGTGAAACAAATTTTTGATAATTTAAGAATACAAATAAATATTACTGCATATGAGTGTCGATACCAAGTATGCTGCAACAGAAAGGAATTTTGCTCAGCCTGACATGTATTGTGTAACAGGGACAACAGTTTTATCAGCTTCAAAAAGGTAGAAGTGGAGTTTGCTTGTTTGTTTTTTTTTTTTTTTTTTTTTTCCAGCTGACCCACTGTCGTGGTTTTAGGCTGATCCAGCAACTAAAACCCACATAGTCTCTCCTTCTCCAGTAAAGTAGAGAGGAGGAAAAAAAGAAAATAATAAAAGGACTGAGGGTTGAGACAAGAACAGAGGGAGCACCCACCAACCATGGTCCCAGGCAAAACAGACTGGGATTTCTTAAAGCAAAACAGTTTATTAATGGTTACTTAGCAGGACAAAGGGAAACAAAACCAGTTACTTGAGAGGATAGAAAGAAACAAAGCCAGATCTTAAAACCGACACCTTCCCCCGCACCCCCCCCCTTTTCCGGTTCCTTTGTCCCGACTTAAATAGGGATATTCGCAGAGGCGCCCTATTGGCTCAACCCCGAGGGGGATGAGAGTCTGATCTGGTGGCCAGAACCAAGTCTAAGCTGGTTCCAAAACCGGGGAGGTCACAGGGAGCAAAGCCGCTCTCCTGCCACCAGAAGCCCCACCCCCTCCACATCAAACCATGACCCACATCTAACCATAACATTTAGAGATATGCAGATCCACAAATAATTTGAAAACAACAAGAAAACCTCCAAATGGCTCTCTGTCTTTCCTTATCTTAGAAGGACAGCCTAATAATCTGCTGGGTCACAGGGTCTTAGTGACAATATTGTTTTATATGACAGGAGTGGTGTTCTAAACACGAGAGAGGCTGAGACATGACAAATGGGAACGAGTCACATATGTACGAATTATATACATACACACATGAATACATACTCCTGCTTTTAAGTACTTCCTTATAATCACTTGCCCTTTGACTGTTGCATAGATAATCACAACGGCATGGATCTACTCAAAGACAGTAGGGAGGAAAAGACATGCAAATAATTCATTTTGCTAAGAAGAGTGCTACTGGTTTGAACAACTTCTCATCAGAAGGTTGTAAAACACTTGGAATCCACTGACTAATTGCAGCCATATTTAATGGAAGGACAGAGACCTAAAAGAAAAAAGACTGTCTCAAAGTATCATGAAGCCCAACAGTTCCAAAATGAATAATCTGACTAGGGAAGAGACTGTAGCACAAAGTAAACAGTCATGCTAAGGTTACTGGTTGGCTAATCAACACATTTGTAACTTAAATCTACAGTATGGTAAAATCTCACCTCACTAGTAACCAGGGAATGTAAAGGCACAATGTGTTGGGCAAGGATGGTGGTGCAGAGAAATAGGGAGTGGGATAGCACAGGTGATGTAGGTGAAAGCTGGGCATAGGGAAGGCAAAAGAGAAAAAAGGAAGATCACAGTAATGATTTTTCGTTATTTGGTCTCTTTCAGAAAGCACATTAAGCAATAAAACCAAAGTTTGAAAGCATTTTTAATACCGGTTGTATGTCAGGAATATTATTCTGTACTTAGTACAGAGAATTCTAAGTTGCTAGCTTTTAAAGAAGCTGTGCTTCTTAAGGATGCGGTCCAGATACATAAGGGGGAGCATTAGACTCTTCATTAGCATTTCCACTGCCTCTTTACCTAAGCAACTAGAGCTAGAGTTCAGATTATTAAGCAAAGATCATCTATTCTTAGGAAAAAAAAAAAAAAAGAAGTGAAGCTGCATGTTTCATCTAATCTTACTGTATTTGATTGGTGAGAAGAATGAATCATAGAATCATAGAATCGTTAGGGCTGGAAGGGACCTTCAAAGGTCATCTAGTCCAACCCCCCTGCAAGGAACAGGGATATCTCCAACTAGATCAGGTTGCTCAGGGCCCCGTCCAACCTGGCCTTGAACGTCTCCAGGGATGGAGCATCCACCACCTCTCTGGGCAACCTGTTCCAGTGTTCTACAACTCTCATGGTAAAAAATTTTTTCCTAATATCCAACCTGAATCTACCTCCCTCTATTAAAACCATTACCCCTTGTCCTATCACAACTGGCCCTCCTGAACAGCCTCTCCCCATCTTTCTTGTAGGCCCCCTGTGATCCATCAAGGTGGGGGGTAGAAAGAGCTAAAAATGTAAAAAGACAATTGAGCTAACCAGAGTATTTCTTTGAGGTTGAAGAGACACTTAAAAATGAAAAAGTCACAGAACATCTCACTGAATGAAACATTGTGAACTCCTCCAGTAAAAAGATTAGCAGCAAATTCTCATCTTCCACAATAATCTTCCAAAGCAATACATGTTGTTTTCAAATGTATTTATTTTTAGCTGTTTCAGGAGACACTCTACCCTTCCCTCAAGAAAGCAAGAGAAATAGTGCTGTTTTCATCAATACTTGTGAAAAACAGTGTATTAGCAAGACGTACTTTATGTACTTTTAGGTACTCTTTGGCATGCAGATACTAAATTCTATGTGAAGTCCATTGGATTTTTAATTCATCTGGAAATGACATTACTGAAGAAGTAATTTGGAACTGTAGGATAACTTTTTTAAAAATGAAAATTTATCATACCACTAAAAATGCTGACAGTTAACAAAGACTTCAGAGTATATCTATGATCCTGCTGAGGGGAAACAAGAAGTAGATACCTCAGGCTTTTCCCATACTCACAAGCCTCCAGGTAAAAGCATAGCTGGGAAAGGATGTTTATTTATGTACGAGACACATCAACAACCACAGAAATATGAAACTACTGGTTCCTGTCATCATTCTGCACTCATGAGTGATGACAGTTGTGAAAAGTTTGTGTTACAGTTAAAGTATTATGAAGCTCTTTGTAAAGTCTTCATATATTGAGAATAATTACAACTGTGTAGAAACTAAGGCTTCATTACAAAAAAATCCGCATAGCGGAACAACTGCACTACTCCCTGCGACTGCTCAGCATTCTTCACAACCCTCTACAGAAACTATATGCAGAATTTAAACCTGGTGTAATACATCAAAAGTATTTTATTTTTTCCTGAATTCTACAAACCTGATAAAACCAGAACTATTTTATACAAAATTTATTAAGATTGTTTTCAATTTAGTATTTTATTAAGCCTTTCTCCTAGAAGTCTCATGCTTGAAGATATTGTGATTTTGAGATACAAACATTTTTCTTTCATATTTTTTTTTCCCCCAATACTGCTCTTAATTGTTTTTTCTACCAATTTGGCTCACATGAATTGCTATAAGCTTTCCCATAAATTCTAAATCTCATCTACCTTTTGTAGACAAAAACCAGATGATGGCAGAGTGTTTAATAAGCTGTAAGTGATGGAAAAGGAAGGGCTTCCTTGCACCACAATGCTAGAGATTCTTTCCCTCTGATTAACAACCTAATACAAGTAGTTCTTACTCAGCTCGGATTCAGCTGAAGTACGTGAGCTGAGACACAGCAAGTAGCGCAAGTGCAACGTGCACGGGGAACAGTGGTAACATATAGGTGTTACAGGGGAAGCTCTAACTATTGTTCCCTCAGAGAACAATAGACTGGTCTGGGGACAGAGACCGGTCCCTCCTTACAGACCAGACACACCCTGAAGTCTACATAATGCTGTAGGAATGGCATTATTAATTTTAACATAAATTTTTCCATAGTCACTTAGTACTGTTAAACCATGTTCTACTGCAGAGTAGTAACCAGAAAGCTAAATCAGAATAGTAGTACATGAAGAGGTAAGTAATTCTTTTAAGCATCCCTCCCTCAACTGTGGACTCATGTATGTCTGTACTTATCTGATTTAGCTGATACCTCAGCTAAAATAATAGTTAAAATTATTCTTCTAGTCTCAAATGGCTGAATTCATTCCCATCCCTCAAATGTTACCTTTCATTACTGAAATAAAGACTACAACCATATTTTTAAATAAACACAGCTATTCAGATTAGGAATTACTAACTAAAAGCAATTTTTAAAATGGATAACTACAGATATTTTTCCTGAAGAACATCTCAGAGTATTAACTCTATCCAAAATATGGTTCTGAGCAAGCTCTCTTGGTATTATATAATTTTCTTTAGAGTAACAGATTTGATCCTATGAAAAGTGTGTGCATTCTTTCTGAGCCTCCAGAGTCTTCATAACCTGAAACATTAACAACTTCCAGAATGCAAAGTGCACTAAAAGAAGAAGTGAAGATGTCATTGGAGGAACTGATAGCTTTCAAAAGTGGATCGAATGAATTGAGACCGTTCTCTGTGAAGGCTTTTGTCACAGAATACCTTCAAGTAGTGTGTAACGTTTCATTTCACAGCAGAAGTTCACAGCCTCCCCTGTTTTTGACTTTGATGATATCTTGCAGGTCACTGCAGAAATACCACGCTGCGGTCAAATCATCTGATGAATGGGGGACACTAAAAATGGGAATTGCATTCATTAGTTCTTGTTAGCACCAGCAGATCTTCAGGAAGACTACTATTTTGTAGTATCTTTGAGTCTCAGTCCGTGGTGAGGCAGAAGATAACTCAGCTCTATAAATGAAATTATTTGTATTTCTTCCCCATGGCATAATGAGAGCAAGGCAGGACATATACACATGACCTGAAATCTGAACTTACTAAAAAAGTTGGTTTAGCTTGTTCTAAAAGGGCTTTCTCCGATCTTGTTTTTGTTCATTTTTGTATTTGAGCTTTGTTTAACCTATTCTTCCATTGTTTAAAATAAGACATAGGAGAACACTAGGTTAGGTTTTATAACATGAAGCCACCAGATTATTGAAACAAGTGAAAATAATTTTAATTTATAGTTTCAGTTTCTGTGAAGATTTACAAAAAAACAGGGAAAACAACATTGTTAAAAGATAACATATTTAGTTGAAAGAATATAAAGGCCACAGTTAAACACAGACATGCCACACTTCTGTAAAGAATAAACATTAATCTCCCAAACCCAAGCCTTCTCTCAGCAAGAAGGAAACTCGACACTCATCATTCCAAAAGGGCACGTACCAACCATCTGCAACCATTGTCCTGGGTGGAAAACCTTCCAAGAAGAATTTAATCATATTGTAATAGTGACACTAAACCATACTCTTGAGCAGATGAAACTACAGCAAGCAGTTGCTAGTCAGTGACTTCACTACAAACTCTAGCAGCTGCTATGAGCAGCTGCACACCCCCTGCTCCCTCTCTTTCAGGTCTGATTTTACCCAAGGGATACAAGGAGTTGAAATGTTGTGTCATACTCACTTTCAAGCATCCTCACTTCTCTGCAACAGTTGCACTTACCAGCAAGCACATTGTTTACCTAAATGCATCCAGATGGAGTATTTTCAGGTTCTTGGTATTTCTGAGAAAGAGAGTTCCTGGTGGCCTCAGACACACTGTTAGTGAGCGACAGCCATCCTGACACCAAGTGCTGAGTAATCCATTTGCAGTCCTCTTATCATTTAACAGTTCTGGAGTAAAGGAAGTTTCTATGAATGCTTATTATGACTTTTGTAATTGACAGGACTTCAGTCTAGTACTTATGTAACAGGAGTCTGGAAAAAGGTACAGGACATCCTTTAATTTAAGGATGACTGTGATTAAATGAAAGCAAAGAAGGATTTTATAAAACAAGTTTTAGGATTGTTTACCTGCTTCTTAATTCCATAATCATCACATGCTTCAGCTTTCATTTTTTCAATCTTTTCTTCTTGCTGTTTTGCTTCTTTTTCATACATAATTTTTTCTTTTGCCAATCTGCAATTAAACCAAGTCATTGTTAATCTGGTTCTATTACAGTAAAAAGTTACACCATCGATAACAGCCCCCTTGACAGCTGCAGCCCTATAAGATAATACACAGTTTTATAAAAAAAAAGCTCTTAACCACTACAAAAACCTGCATCTAGGAAACGTTAAGTTTAGCTATAATGTATAATGATTCTTATGAAAATAATTTAATTTAAAAATATTTTTAAAGATTCTGTGTGGGCTTATCCATATAGAATATCCTTAAAAAGCTATATATTGGTACTTCATTTCAAATACATAACAGAAACAGATAAACTGCCTTGTAGAGCTGGATGACTGCTAAGACAGACAGCAGCGCAGAGAAGAAAACTATCTCAAAAAAGTTCTCAGATGATAGGGAGCCAAACCAAACAATATTAAGATATCTGCGAAGACATTATTGTCGTCGGCTTTTAGATCAGCATTTTCCAGACTTTCTCAACATCATTCAGGTTCTGATGGCTTTGCAGGTCACCTATATTGGCTGATAACAGCTTGTCGTCTTTCCCAATTCACTTCTAAATGGCACATGGAGAAAAGGAGGTGATTGGCGACAGCCAACATGGCTTCACTAAGGGCAAATCCTGCCTAATTTGGCGGCCTTCTACAATGAGGTTACAGCACTGGTGGATAATGGAAGAGCAACTGACATCGTCTACCTGGACTTGTCCAAAGCATTTGACACTGTCCCACGTGACATCCTTGTCTCTAAATTGGAGAGACCTGGATCTGACGGATGGACCACTTGATGAATAAGAAGTTGGCTAGATAGTTGCACTCAAAGAGTTGTGGTCAACAGCTCGATGTCCACATGGAGACCAGTGACGAGTGGTGTTCCTCAGGGGTCAGTACTGGGGCCGGTGCTGTTTAACATCTTTGTTAGCGACATGGACACATGGGATTGAGTACAGCCTCAGCAAGTTTGCTGACAACACCAAGCTGTGCGGTGTGGTCAACACACTGGATGGAAGGTATGCCATCCAGAGGTACCTTGACAGACTTGAGAGGTGGGTCTGTTTGAACCTCATGAAGTTCAACAAGGCCAAGTGCAAGGTCCTGCACATGGGCTGGGGCAACCTCCAGTATCAATACCAGCTGGGGGATTAAGGGTTTGAGAGTAAATAGTCCTGTAAAGAAGGACTTTTACTTTACTGAGAGTAAATAGAGTCCTGTAAAGAAGGACTTGGGGGTATTGGCTGATGAGAAGCTCAACATGAGCCGGCAATGTGCGCTGGCAGCCCAGAAAGCCAACTGTATCCTGGCTGCATTCAAAGAAGCATGGCCCAGCAGGTCGAGGGAGGTGATTTTGCCCCTGTACTCTGCTCTCATGAGACTCCACCTGGAATACTGCATCCAGCTCTGGGGTCCCAAACATAAGGACATGGAGCTGCTGAAGCGGGTCCAGAGGAGGGCCAGAAAATGAAGGGCTGAAGCACCTCTGCTATGAAGACGGGCTGAGAGAGTTGGGGCTGTTCAGTCTGGAGAAGAGAAGGCTCCAGGGAGACCTTCCAGCACCTAAAGGGGGCCTACATGAAAGCTGGAGAGGGACTTTTTACAAGGGCATGTAGTGATAGGACAAGGGGCAATGGATTTAAACTGAGAGTAGATTTTGATTAGATATAAGGAAGAAATTTTTTATGTTGAGGCGGGTGAGGCACTGGAACAGGTTGCCCAGAGAAGTTGTGGAAGCCCCATCCCTGGAAGTGTTCAAGGTCACGTTGGATGAGGCGTTGAGCAACCTGATCTAGGGGAAGGTGTCCCTGCCCATGGCAAGGGGGCGGGAACTAGATGATCTTTGAGGTCCCTTCCAACCCTAACCATTCTATGACTCTAAACACCACCACTGCACCTGCATTATTAGCTGAATAATGACAGACATCCTACTTAGTAGTAACTGTTTTCAAAGTTATTTCATTTAAATGAAAAGAAACATCACTTTCAAGGTTCACAGACTGATCCCAGAACATTGTTTTCCTCATCACTACATTTCATGCCATTAAATGCATTATTTCCCATACTAGTTTTTGTACAAAATAATAAAAAGTGAAGTTCCCAAATTACACAGTAGCCTTATATTCTTGTGTTTCTTTGGGTGTTTTCTCACGTTGGGTGTTTTTGGGTGCTGGTTTGGGGGTTAGAGACAAAAGTAACAATTCCATATTACAGCAATTTTCTTTATGGCCTGTCTTTCGAAGGGAAAAGAATCCATCTTTTAATCCTAATGATGGATCCATACTTGGGAACAGGATGCTTTTTGCTAACAAGCATAGATTCAAGAGTAATATAAAAAATTTTGAAGGTCAGAAGGGAATTTTAAGGTTGTCTAGTCTGATGCCGTACAGTAATTTTTACATTGTAATCCCATTATCTAACTTTATTTGTTGTTGCTGCAATTTTGCTGTTGCATCTCCCACTTTGCTATGTTCATTAAGTATATGTTGGATTACATAATGCTGGATGTGAACCAAACCATCCTTCAAGATCTGGAGAATAACCAGGTAATTTCTGATCAGCTAATTCAGGACCAAAACAAACATTGAGATGCTACTGCAAACCTGAGAGTGTGCCAGAGAAAATCCTTCCCCAAACAAAAATAAGCATCAGATCAGCCTATATAGGACTTAAACAGCCAGAAGAACATAATCAGATCCAAGAAGCAAAGAATATATTATACAAACAAGAAGAGAATAAATAAAGGTCTAGTAGAGAGCTTCACGGTCATGTTAGCACATCAGGGCAAATTAATTCCTGATTTGTCACAGTTAAGTGCCCTACTAGAAGTGCTGCTGAGGATGGACAGAATGGTACTAGGGTGACAAGAACCTTTAGTGAACTGAAGCTGCCACAAAAGCACCACTGCAGTAATATCTGGAGAAAAATTCCAACGAGAACATACTGATACTGCAACAGCAGGAACTCTCCCTGCTTTTGCTAGAGTTTACATCACCAAAAATTGTTTTGCTAAAATAGCCTTAAGCTATGGTTCCACAACAGTAGATCTAAGTTGGGCTGTGGCAACACACACCTGAATTCATTTTAACTCTCGTGGAGTCACACCATCAGAGAGGGCCTTCAGCCTTACAAAGAAGCTTTAACAGCATATAGAGCATGTACTACAAGTATTATCTAGGGCGGTTTCTACAAGCCAGCCAAGTACTAGCTTTGAGAATTAGTACCAGGGAAAGACAGCAGCCTAATTACTAATAATAAAGACACTAAATCAGTGGCTGTAATTCCAACTACGGGAACTAGCTCCAGTATTAGCATCAGCAAATATTGATTTAATAGAGGATGAGTTAATTGTTTGATCAAGGTTACTTGATTGAATTCCAGACAGTATTATTTGCTTTGCTATTTTTAGGTTCCAAAAAAGTTAATTTTTATCAACCTGTGAGACAGATGATTTTTTTTTGAATGAGAACAGCAAATTCCCTTGAGCAGCAAGGGGGGAGAGATATGATTAAAAGCAGTTTTTATGTTGATTCACTTACTGAAGTGTGCGTGCGCCATTGAAACTAAAGGCAGTGTGCATCACTAAACCCAGCATTTTTAATTATTTTAATTTTTAGCTAAAACAAAAGGCTCATTTGTCATTACTTATGTTTTCACATTACGTTTTCACATGATAGAGATCTCCCTTTATGCACACTGACTTTTCAAACTGACTGCTATTCATGTTTGCTTGCTTTTGTCAAACAGGAAAGGGGTGCATGTTCTGGCCTAGTTTAGAACTACATTTAACTTAATTTTTTGCCCACCTTTCTCATATCTGGATACTTAAGAATTGCATCTGTATTTATCTACCTATTTCTATTTCTGCAGTAACTGTACATTTCAGAAGCAGAACTTGAAACATTCTTTCAAAAAAGGAAACATATGAAACATGAAATATGAGACCGTTTTCTGTGACAAATTTTCCACTGCACTTTGTTCAGTAACGAGAACTGTCCAATTTAACATTCCATTTATCATTCATAAGATAGGGATGCTGATGTTTAATGCTATTAAGAACTTTTGATTTGAAACCATTTCCTGTACTAGATGCTTCTTCTAGATGTCATGAAGCTGTTTCTACTGAATATGTAGCTTGGGGAGATGGTAAATTCAATCAATAGCTTGCTTTCAAAAGGAAAATGAAATTTCATAATGGAGCAATACTAGCCCCTCTTAAAAATTTCAGCAGAATTCTATGCACAAATACCCACATGATACTCTTTCTCTCCTTTCACCCTTTGTCTATCTAGAAACAATATTCTGGGTTGGGTTTTTTGCTTGGTTGGGGTTTGTGGGGTTTTTTTGTTTGTTTGTTTTGGGTTGGTTGTTTTTTTCAAAAAGAATAAAATAGATGCTAAACCAGAATCTTTATATATGGCATGATCATACATAGTGAACAGAGTAAGAATAGCTCCGTAGGTACCAGAAAAAGCCAGGCCATAATTTCTGGCATTTGAAATACACAGATCATTTATAGATGAAAAAACCTGCAACTATAAAGTTATGCCACTACAGGCATAACTTTAGCAGACGTTCTACAGTGTTATAAAAAATACAGGCTACAGTAACTTTAACTTTTAATTGGAAGAATCCAAAATTTAAAAAAAAGGAACCAACATAGATTACTACTTATCATGGTTATGCTTGTATTCTACACATTTATACACATAATTTGTATATTACACATATATACTTGTATATGGGTAATATGCTTTTATTCTGCAACAGAGTGCCTTAAAATATCCTCTTTGTTTTTAAACAATCTGTCAGCTGGTACCCATCTGAAACTCTGTGGTTAACCTTATTTCAGCTACACAATATCCTAAATACTGTATAGCTCTGCAAATAAAAAAAACATTTATCACCAAAAAGTTCTATACATTGTAAGGTACAGTGTGTTAAGAAATACTGTCAGCTCTGTGACCAGTTCTCTCTAAGTTAGGAATCTAAATCTCAATTTTAGGAGTTGTTCTTTTTTTCTTTTCTCTTCTTTGATAAAAACG